CTATGTTCTAGAAAAGTATCAAGTGCAACCTAGGTCTAGGACGCTTTCAGAAGCTTCCAGAAGATTCCGGAAGGTTTGAGAAAGGTTTCCAGAAGCTACACACGTTCTAGGTAGATCTCCCGGTCGACCTTGACCTAGCATGCTCCCGGAACATTTCTAGAACATGAGAATACATGTCACGAAGAGATATATTCATTTTTACGCAGACTAGTTGCTGCAATCGTATTCAAAGGTCAAATCGTGTCCGCCTACTGGTGGTCTCGACGCACGATTTTTCCTGACACGACCCCTCGACCAAGCAACTATTTCACAATGGTCAACCGCATCACCATACCCATTTCTACCTCGACGCCTCCGTTGACATCGTATCGAAAGTAAATTCCTCAATGTATGACGCGTATGGTAGCAAGCTTAACTGGTATTCGACCAACACGAGAAGTCCTTGATCTGCAGAACGATGGAGGCGAATCGATGCTTTTGTAGGTGCTTGGTCGCGATATCAGCCAACTGGTGCTCGCTAGACCGGTGGTGAAGAGTAATATGTCCCCGCAGTACTATCTCCCGGATGAAAAAGTACCTCAGGGCCACGTGCTTCGTGCGTTGAGAGTGCATGGCATTCCCGGCCACTGTCAGCTTTTCAGTGCTGTCGCTGTTGATGGGAACCGATCCGAAGGTCTTGAAGTTGAGCTCCGTCATAAAAATTTGAGATATAGACCGCCTCTCTGGCTGAGAAACTAAGTGCTTGAATCTCGGCTTCGACCGTGCATTGCGCTGTTAGAGTTCGAGTCTTCGCATCGTAGCTGATGAGTCCTCCAGCAAGGAAGAAGGGATATCCCGTGGTAGATCTTCCGTTGTCGGGGTTTGCTCCGCCAGTCCTCTCCTGTAGACGATAGGAAGAACTGGATAACTCCGAAGGTATCGCAGAACGTGCTTGGCTGCTGTCATGTTCACTTGCGCTAGGTTGCTGCAGGCCTTGGACAGTTGTAGGGCCGCGTAAGAGAGGTTGAATCGCGTGCACTGGGCCAGGTAGAGGATGCTTCCCGTCATCGACTGGTAGATTTTCTTGTCCGTGAGTCTTAGGATTTGGTCCTGATGTAGATTCGTGGAATGTTTCCGCTCCGTATCCAGGAGTGCTCACTGGGTTGGCCTCTTGCATTCCGAACCGTTCCAGAGGTGTTTTCACGTAGTGCTCCTATGAAATGCCCAGGGTTCCCTGCTCGCAATCCCGCTCTACGTCGATCCCGAGGATCCGCCTTACCTCTCCCATGTCGGTCATCTCGAATCGATCCGTGGGCTTGTTCTTCTTCTGGTTCACGAGCTGCTGGTCTCCTCCAGTGATGAGAATGTCGTCTACGTAGACCGTGAGAATCACAATAATGTTGCCGCTGGTATATATGCCCCCCCCTCGGCCTGCTCCCCGGCCGGGGCCGAAATCGACCTAGTGAGTCCTTCGCGGGCGAACCAGGCCACAACCGATAGAAGGCGGGTGGTGTCCCAAGGTGTAACTCACCGCCGCGCTGGCTCAGCATGGCGGTGAGGGTGCACAGACGGCGGGAGTGGCGAGAGGTGTGTATGGACACTGTTCCCGCGGCAGGAATGTAAAGCGGCAAACTGCACCTGGCAACCACCGTCGCGGAAAGCGTGGCACACGAAGCTGGAGGAGTAGAGAGATTCGTACGTAAACACCATGTCAGTAAGCACCGCTCGCGGGACGAGGGAGACAACCGCGGGCACCGCGGGGAGGGAGTGCTGCACTCTCCTCGTCAAAACACCACAGGTAAGAACTGAGCTCTGCAGAGATGGATTGATGCGAGGAAATTCGCCGCTTTGAAAATACGGAAGAAAGCACACCCGCAACGCGAGGTGGACCGAGAGAGACACGAGACCGCAGCGGCCGTCAAGGCGGCTGCGAAGAAGAAGGCACGAGAGGGCGACCTATCGTTCGGCACGTTCAACGTACGCACGCTCGCCTGCAGCGGTAGGAACCCCAGCGGTCACAACGAGATGACGGTCATGCAGATTTGTTCCGCGACCGGCTGTGATGTGATAGGACTTCAGGAGACCCGACGAGATTTCCAAATTTCGGACTATTGGTGTGAACAGCTTTTTGTGCCTCCCGGAAGTGCCACAGTAACTCCCGTCACAAAAGGGTTAATTATTGGACCAAAGAAAGATGTTTCCGAGTTAAAAGAAGGAATCCATCCATACTGCACATTCCAAACATCACCACGCATTCGTCTGCATGCAGTCGGCCAGAAAGACGTCGTTCACGTCCCCCCGCTCTTGCGACGACGACCCCCTCTCTATGAAGGCCGAGTCTTGCTACCGAATCCGAATCGAAAGAGTTCAGTGGAGGGTACATACAATATTAATATTTTTTGTCTCGTCCTGCGGCACCGCCGTCGAATCACAACCAACCACGGCAAGGCCCGAAAAAAATACAAGTACACCTCCAGCCATGCCCGCCCATCATCTGCCACGGGGTATCCAACACAATGCATCAAGGTATATATTTGCTTCTGGTCTTATTCTAGTAGTTTCGAAGATCATGGTCTCGCATCGATACGCTGCGAACGCACCTTAAACGTTGCACTTTGAAGCATAAACTACTGTATGTGTTACCTACTTGCGAAGCTCCGGTCGGTTGAGAAACTGTAATTCATGTACATGTAGCGGAGGAGGTAGCCGCACAATATGCTGCCTTTCTTCGACAAGGATAATTGCATTGCCCCGTTGATTGCTTTTCCTTTCCTGTCTCTCCTTCTCTCTCCCTCTCTCTCCGAAGTTAAGCGCAGATGTCAGTCCCATGCGAAAATGCGTTTCTCTTGCATGGGTAAAGCGGTCTATTGGTGGCGAGACATGTAACAACGACAAGCAAGTGTACACTCACTTGGCTTATATTAAGGTCGGGGCACAATCCATGTACATTAGCTGCCGGCAGGTTGATATTGTTCTCGTGAATAAATGAATCTGGAAGTTGCGCACAGCAGTGAGTGCCTGCTAGAGCACGCCTTCCGTTGGAGCAAGTCTTCGTGCCTCTTGCAGTCTCGACGATCGAGCACAAAACAAGCTTAACCACATGTAGACTTTCGCAAGAGAATCTCTCCAGCCAAATCGAGAGAGTTGTGAACTACTCCCAGACCCTTCCTCTTCTGTGTATGATTTTCATCGCTCGCCACAATTGGAGCCGCTACGTTGTGGGTGGGTGGGTGGTGGCTGGAGAGGGAATCGAACATAATCCTGACCGAACCACTCAAAAGATCTGACGCGTGTGGTGGAGAAGATGGAGGCACCCATCACCATCTTCAGCTAGGGTGACATATTTTCTCTTTTTTTCGTTCTACAGCAAACAGTAGTGAAACAGCACATACCGGTGAAACACATATTGTAGACTAGTCTAGACAGAAGGTGTCGTTTGTCTGTTGGGTGGGTCTTTGACCTTGTTTATTTGTTTTTTCATGACTGAGTCGTGATCCCATCGTTGGGCCGTGACTCGGTTATGACCCGGGCAAGTCATCGAGATGGAGTCATGACCTCGATCATGATCTCGGTCATGACTGAAGCCGTTTCTTCGTCATGTTTCGGTCAGAACTCCATCATGATTCGGCCGTGATCGATTCATGGCCGAGTCATGGCCAATGCAATTCCGGTGCTCCTAAACGATAGGTTGTCGGTTTTGGCAGGGACATGAAACCGACTGAAAACCCTATCCGTAACGAACCCAAACCCACACGTGCCAGGTTGACGCTGGGTGGATCAATTCTATTGTGTAGGTTGATGTGTCGGTGATGGCGCTAGCTTGGCGTTGATTGGATTACCATGTAGGTGGGTGTGTCGGTAATGCAGTCATTCTAGAAAGCGACAGCGAGTCGTGGTTGCGTCACGATGGGTGATGACACGATCATGTCTCGGTCATGGTACGCTCATCTTGACGGAGTCGTACGACGATTGATTAGGACTCGATAAATGACACAATCATGGCTACATGCAATAGATACTGACCGGGTCTTGGGCATACTGGCCGAAAGTTCATCCGAAAGTGAGAAACAACGAAGTCATGACCCGGTCATGACTCGGTTCGGTCATGACTGTCATGCCTCAGTCATGACCCAATCATGGTCACGATTACGAAAACTCTAATGTTACACTCCCTGGACAACCAGTGGGTGCAAACAACAGCGTGCAAGAGTAGGTGGACATGTGGAAGTTGCCGGAATCCAAATTGGCGCGAAAATCGAGGTAGACGTCGGCACTGAAAACATGTTGATATTTATCATGTTTGATATTTATTGACAGGATGTCGTCGTCGCGGGACACAGACTTGATTGTAGAGTGCACCCACGTGGGGGCGATTTATTTTTCCCGCGAAACACTTGTTGAGACAGCATTCCGACCGTTGACGTCGCCACACGTCTGCATCAAGTTTCGTGCTGCGACAATATGATCCGTACTGGCGTCCCACGTATGGTCGTCATGGCCTGCGATGAGTGCTCTTCTTGTGGATGAGGTTTGTAATGACTGTGGCGCTGTGGCCGGCACGTACAGGTGCGGCGGTGGAATTATATGACGAATCACCTCGCTCAAGGCACGGGGCGTGACGTCACTGATGCAACACTGAATAAAACCCGCTTAAATATACCAGGCAAAGACTATCACGCTCATCTACCTGGCACACTCCATCGAGTTCGGTCACATGTAAATGTCCGTGAGATGAGTCCTGCGACGGGACACTGCAGCGAACTACATGTCAACACATTGAAATATTGTGTGCTGCTACCTGCTGCGGACAAACTCCGGTCTCGTCACAGCATATCTGTAGCTTGTGTATATAGTGCTGTGCACATCATGCACTGCCAGTGTCTGCCAGATCAAATCGGTCCGTCTGGCGTATTTCATTTGCAGGACATCGCTGTACTCATTACATACGACCTGGCTTCACGTACCATGCTCATCGTTTCATCACCTCAACAGGTCCCGTGCTGCAACAATGAGGCGTACTGGCGTCACCAACTGTTGTATGTACCACTTATTTTCACAACACGGCAGCATTTCATTGATGTACCAAGGTTTTATCAATCATTCCACACAGCTCCTTGAACTCGTGCAACCATCATTTCACCACATACGTAGATTACAATACACAGCTGTATATTCTGCATAGGTCGACGTGACATGGAACTGATGATTGAAGGATCGTAGCGCAGGCCGTTTTATGTCCACAACACCAAGGGCGGGGGAACGAAAGTGATGGAACAGCAACAGGGGAACGGCACGATGAAGTCCGGGCTGTAGTGTTGTTCGGTAGCAAGTACACGGATGCGATCGTTTCTTTTCGTGTATGGTGGACCGAGTCCGGAGTGATAAACCTGGGGTCTTCAATGGAATAGTGTGGAAGCAGTCCCATGCATACGAACGCACTTACTTGTAAAGGCAGGATACACAGCAGTGAAGGCGGTATCCCCCACGCCCAACAGGGTTTTCGCCTGATTGAGAGCGGAGTATACGATTGAGAGCGGGAGCCAAAAAAATTGAAATTTCGGGTCCAGACGCCTCTTGCCATTTCTTGGGAAGTAGGGGGCTGGCTCTTCCAAGAAGCGGCGCAAATTGAAGGTCTCATCAGCAGCGTCACGAGCATATGCGTGTCATTGCGATTGGATGCTGCAGCTAGGAGCTAGACAAGTTGCTAGATTTCCCCAGATTGGCTATTCCTGCCTCAAACTGTTTCAGGGCGATTTGATCGCGGGCGGTGAGCTCTGCTGTAGATTCTGCTCCCCGCTGTAGCTCCACAACGAGAGTCGCCCACAGGATGACCAGGGTATCGGCTTGTAGCTACGGGCTAGGCCTTCAATTCAAGTCACGCAGCAAGACCTCTCAGCGGTAGTCCAGCTACAGCGCATCGCGCAATCTCACTCTCAATCAGAAACTTCGCTCTCAATCACACGAAAACCTTGTTGCCCGCGAAATCGTACAATTCGACATAGGAGCACAATATTGGACTACTCGCATAGTCAGCCTTGACTAAACAGTCTCATGGATAGGCCTTCTCTAACAACAGGTATACTCTCGGCTCGTAGCCTTCCAGCTGGATCAGTGAGTAGGGATCTCCGGGGACGGACCCCTTCGCCAGGCGCTGCCGGAAATAGAACTACTGTAATGGTCCTTCGAAAGTCATCCAGCTGGGATTTGAAAGCGGTGAGCGCATTCTCTGTTCGACAAAAGAAGGCGAACAAAATATTTGGCAAAAAATATAATATATGGTACCATATAGCTATATATATTTAGCGATGTCCGTAAGCAAATTATTTACAGAATTTCCTTCGGCACGGCGAGGGGTTCGGCCCCGGAGACCCGTACTCCTTCCACTCACTGACCCAGCTGGGATGGCTGAGAGCCAAGACTTGCATAGACAGCCGCCGACCATAGCAATAAGTAGTTTTCTCATGGATACCAGCCTTTATCGATAAAGCTTAAACCATTAGGCCATTCATCAGCTGGCTTAGTGATCTGAACATTCGGGTTGCACCCAACAGCGAGAATCAACTACACACCTGTACAAATACGGTTGCCAGCAACATTTTTCTCACGTAGTTGCTATCCGATAGGCCAGATGGGTAGGTCATTTCAAAGATAATCATGAGATGCGATTCACCTAATAGTCCGCGGTGATCTGGCCCGGTTTGTGATTGGGCGCCCACGGCACAGGTCACATTCTCAGGTCTCACTCACCCCCGGTCAAATCTGCTTGCTCGTCATTGCGAAATATCCACAGGGAGTTCCACAAGGGCATGGTGGCGGAGCCGGCAGCGGAGGCAGTGATTGCGACAGTAACAGTAACGGCAGTGGCGCGCGTTCGCCCGGCGGTGCTAGTCCTTTCGCCGTGCAGCAGCACTTTCAGCACCAGGCCCAGTACCAGCAGCAGCATCAAGCGCAGCAGCAGCCGGAGGAGCAGCACCAAGAACGTCAGGTGTGGAGCCGCACGGGACTCGTTCCCGTCGCAGACAACCCCGACAGCGAACGAGAGATGAGGCGCCAACTCGATACAAAAGGGGTTTGTTACGGCATGCTGTAGGCGCGGTGCTCCAGGCTTGACCGCGGCCGGCCGCGGCCGCGACCGATATCACCCAGAAGTACCGGATCGCGTGATCTTTCGGTGATAAGCTGGTATTCAAGCCGGCAGTACCAACACACGCTCGATGACGCAATACTAGTAGGCTGTTGTTAATGATTGTTGAGGTACCGCCTTACATGTCGGCATTGACAATAAGTTTTTTTTTGTGCAGGATATCTTCCCACAACGCCGGAAACAAGCGGGGAGTTCACGTGCGCGATGTGCGGGTGTTACTCTGGTCGTAGCAAGGCCTGCGCGTGTACTGTAATTTCTCACTCTAGTTTCAATTTTTGTCATGTGGTTCCTGTTTCTTCATCGTACGGAGACTGTGTTGCGATACTCGACGATTGGAAGTGTCCATCTCGGATTGCGTACTTGGTGTATTGATTTGCATGTGCATTTTTAATCTTTTAGCCACCAGAATCGCCTTCGGGACAAGAATGTTCATAGTTGTTGCTCGGGCGGGGAATACAGTATGATTATTAAGCGGTTTGCAGTCCTGCGAGGGCGAATCCGGCAAGGCCTGGTCGTAGGGAAGAGGCTCTACAAGTAAGTAAGCGGACACCTTGGAGTGGCTAGGCCAGGTAGACGCGTTCTGATATCTATCCTATGTTGATAGGCGAGAGACACGTTTGCTAGTTGTTGGTGAAGAAAAGGTGTGGAGTGTGCGGTACTTGTGCAGACGATACCAACAACAGAGTGGTGTCCATCAGCTTGCCGTTTGGTGCTCGTATACTCCCTGGGTGGGTGTTTTGCTCCCACTCTATTGCCTCATTTCTATGGTGTGCACGTTTTATCACTAGACTATTGCTGCATATACGCGTACGCGTGTGTCTGAGTCTGGCATAACGTTGCTGCTAGTCGCGGATGTTTCATCGGAACCATTCTTCATCTCTACAGAGAGGAGTTCGGTTGTTGGGTGCTGTCGATATTCCCCGTGAAACACAGAGTAATGGTTGCGGTGCAACCGTTTGGCTGCTCTCCCCGATCACTTTTGAAACTCCGAGGTACATGATTCACATGTGCTTCTGTGACTCCATGCACGTGCACACACGTCCCGGTGTGATGAGTTACGAAAACAACGCACGCACATGGTCGGGTAGAAACGAGTGAAAGAGAAATCAGGAGTAGGGCAAAGATTCTCAACGCTCAGCGTATTTTGCATTGTCCAGAAGTGGTACGTGTAGTGCACGCCCAATTGCCCACACATTGAGGCGTAACCCATACCTATAACAAGCGCCACGCACAACTGCCACCAAGGGGAGCAAGTTTAATTCGTGTGCCCAACGACATTTGATGTCGATTGTGGCGTATTGCTCACGTTGGTTTCTGTCGTGTCTAGAGTCTGGCGGTACGGCGGGCCTGACGGGAACACAAATCATTGCAACATCAAGACTATGGCTCCAATGGGGTGGTGGTAACGTGACAAGCACGTTCTCGTTCAGATGTGCAGCATAGCACCGTGACACACGAACGTGGAGAGCCTGATACTCTTCTCGGTCAGTCTAAGTCAGGCCATTCAAGGCGCGGGGCGCACCTGATACCACGAGATGGTGAAGATTTTCAAAGGCAGCTAGGAATACGAGTTATTTTATTCGAAATATGTACCCGTAGAGGTGACAGGTTTCACGCCACAAAGCGGTATGTCTTCCGGCCGTGTTGTTGTTGCTTCGTTTGTCGCTGTGGTTGTGTTCTAAACAACATCCGTCTAGATCGCGACTCAGTATCTTCTTCCATCTGTACCAGTCCAACTGACACGGACGTCGTCCATGGGCGTCTGCCACCAAGGTCCCGAAATCCCAGATGCTACTGCTGTTGTTGTTGCTGTTGTCGTCACATTAAAACCTCCCGTTTTCTCCGCCCAGTACCTTGTTCTGTCTGTTAGATATACTCGTAGCATAGTAATGTGGTTGAGTATGGGACATGGATCTACGGAGATTGCAGTTGGTAGATCGCGGAGGAACAGGGAGTTTCTGCTTGGTTTCTTCGGAGATTCGATGAGTGATCTGAATTGCGTGACGGATAGGTGTGGTGACGCACTCTTCGGCTGCTCG